AAGACCTGCATAGGTGCCTTCAAGATCCTCAAGGGCACCTTTAAGACCCCCAAGACCCTCATAGGTTCCCCAAAGACCCGTATGGGCACCTCCAACACCCCTCAAGAACCCAGAGGTTCCTCCAAGCCCCCCACAGGTGCCTCAAATCACCCCATAGGTGCCCCCAAGACCTCCATGGGCACCTCCAACCCCTCCTGTGCCTCACCTGCCGCTGTGGGTGATGTGGATGCGCTTGCTGGGCTTGACCTCCACCCCGTTCTTGAACCAACGTCCTGTGACCTTCTCGTCTGACACCTCACACTTGAACACAGCCTGTTCCGTCGCCTGCACCGTGAGGTCCGCGATGCCCTGCAGCACCTCCAGCTGCTTTTCTGGAGGGGGGAACACGGGTTAGGGAATCCCACCACGGACCTGGAGCCCCCACCTCTCCCTGGGAACATCTGGAGAACCTTTCCGAACCACTGGAGATCCCTCAACCCCCTATTGAACCTCTTGGAGACCACCTGGAGACACCTCCAGGTCTCCTGGGAACACCTGAGACCCCTTGGAGACCTCCTGGGATCACCTGGACACCCCCCCAAACCTCTCATGGAGACCCTTCAGAGCACCCCAGAACCTCTTGGACTTCCCCCATGGAGCCTCCAGGACCTGCTGGGCCTCCAAAGTGACCCTCAAACCTCTCCTGGAGAACCCCCAGCAACCACGGACCCCCCACCTTCAACGATGACCTCAGCCTCGGCCTCTCCACCGTTGGTGAGGATCTTGTACCGTCCTGTGTCCTCCTTGGTGGCCTCATTGAGGATGAGATAGTGCTTCTTCCCATCCTTCTTGAATCGGTACTTGAAGGCCTCCTCACGGGTCAGCTCCACTCCATCCTTTGTCCTGGCATGGGAAGGACACAGGATGGACATGGGAGTGACATGGGAGTGACATGGGAGGGACATGGGGTGGTGGGCTGGACACAGGATGGACATGGGGTGGTGGGATGGCCATGGGATGACACAGGATGGACGTGAGGTGGCCATGGAGTGGTGGGATGGGCACAGGATGGACATGGGATGGACACAGGATGGACATGGGATGGCCATGGAATGGTGGAAGGGACACAGACAGGATGGACATGGTGAGACTGACACAGGATGGACATGGCATGACCATGGGATGGCCATGGAATGGTGGGATGGACACAGGATGGACAT